GACAGCCCAGGATGTGTCCCCAAGGGCTGTGACACTCAGGATGTGTCCCAAAGGGCTGTGACACTCAGGATGTGTCCCCAAGGGCTGGGACAGCCCAGGATGTGTCCCCAGGGGCTGTGACAGCCCAGGATGTGTCCCCAAGGGCTGTGACACTCAGGATGTGTCCCCAAGGGCTGTGGCACTCAGCTTTGGGGCTGCCCTAGCATTTGTGTCCCTGGCATGGCTCCCGGGGACCGCGACACTCGGGCGTGTGTCCCGAGGGCTGTGGCACTCCCGGCCGTGTCCCCTCAGTGCGGTGCCACCCTGGGGTGCCCTGTCACCTCCTCCTGGGGACCGTCCCGCCCCCTGTCCCCCCTCACCTCCTCCCTGACACAGTCTGCCAGGCGCACCACGATGGCCTCCAGCGCCCAGGGCGGTGGCAGCGTCCCCTCGTGCTGGCTGTCGCCGCTGTCGCCGCTGTCGCCGCTGCCGCTGCAGGCCAGGAAGAGGCGGCAGAGCAGGCGCGGCCCCAGGCGGCCCAGCAGCCCCTCGAGGGCCAGCTCCGCGTAGCGCTCGGCCAGGCACTGGCAGGCCCCGGCCAGGGGCAGCGGCAGCGCCCGGCACAGCCCGGCCACCGCCGCCGCCACCGAGCGCACCGGCACCGCCGCCTCGGCCCGCGCCACCAGCGAGCGGCACAGCCAGCACCGCGGCAGCGGCAGCGACAGCGGGGACAGCCCCGAGCCCTGCGGGACAGGGGACAGTGCCGGGGACAGGGGACACTGTACAGGGACAGGGGATACTGAAGGGGACAGGGGACACTGCACAGGGACAGGGGACATTGTACAGGGACAGGGGATACTGCGGGGGACACTGCAGGGGACAGGGGACACTGCACAGGGACAGGGGACATTGTACAGGGACAGGGGACAGTGCCAGGGACAGGGGACACTGCAGGGGACAGGGGACATTGTACAGGGACAGGGGACATTGTACAGGGACAGGGGACACTGAAGGGGACAGGGGACACTGCCGGGGACAGGGGACAGTGCCGGGGACAGGGGACACTGCACAGGGACAGGGGACAGTGCGGGGGACACTGCAGGGGACAGGGGACACTGTACAGGGACAGGGGACACTGTACAGGGACAGGGGACAGTGCCGGGGACAGGGGACAGTGCAGGGGACAGGGGACACTGTACAGGGACAGGGGACACTGTACAGGGACAGGGGACCTGCAGAGGAGAGGGGACAGTGCTGGGGACAGGGGACACTGCACAGGGACAGGGGACAGTGCCGGGGACAGGGGATAGTGCCGGGGACACTGCAGGGGACAGGGGACATTGTACAGGGACAGGGGACACTGTACAGGGACAGGGGACAGTGCCGGGGACAGGGGACACTGCGGGGGACGGGGGACACTGTACAGGAACAGGGGACACTGTACAGGGACAGGGGACAGTGCCGGGGACAGGGGATACTGCACAGGGACAGGGGACACTGCCGGGGACAGGAGACAGTGCCGGGGACAGGGGACACTGCACAGAGACAGGGGACATTGTACAGGGACAGGGGACACTGCACAAGGACAGGGGATACTGTGGGGGACAGGGGACACTGCAGAGGGACAGGGGATACTGCAGAGGAGAGGGGACACTGCACAGGGACAGGGGACACTGCAGGGGACAGGGGACACTGCACAGGGACAGGGGATACTGCAGAGGAGAGGGGACACTGCACAGGGACAGGGGACACTGCCGGGGAAAGGGGACACTGCAGAGGGACAGGGGACATTGTACAGGGACAGGGGACACTGCCGGGGACAGGGGACACTGCAGGGGACAGGGGACACTGTACAGGGACAGGGGACACTGCAGGGGACAGGGGACACTGCAGCCAGTGCTGGGCACTCTGTGTGGCCGTGCCCCGCTGCCACCCCGCCCCGCTGTCCCCGTGTCCCCGTACCTGCAGGTGGCTGCCAGGCCCCTCAAGGACGGGCACAGCCCCGGGCTCGGCACAGAGCTTCAGCTCGGTACAGACCTTCAGGGGGTCCTGCGGGGCACACAGAGTGACCCGGCTGTCCCCAGCCCCCCGGGGCGGCCACGCTGTGCCCAGGGGCACCTGTCCCCCTCCCCTGTGGCACCTCCACGGCCGATTGGTTGGAGATTTTGCGGAGTGATTCCAAGAGCTGCTGGCACAGGGCACAGGCGTCCTGCAGGAGAGGACAGGGGGACATGGGGACATGGGGACATGGGGGTCTGGGACATTGGGAAATGGCCACAGAGGAGGACAGGGACATGGGGAGCATGAGGACGTGGGGATGTGGTGGCACAGGGATGTTGGGAAGTGGGACACGGGGACATAGGGACATGGGGGACATGGGGGAATGGGTTCATGGGGGAATGGGGACATGGGGACGTGGAGACGTGGGGGAATGGGGACATGGGGACATGGGGGAATGGGGACATGGGGACATGAGGAATGGGGACATGGGGACATGGGGGAATGGGGACATGGGGACTGAGGGGATGGCTGGGGACTCGTTGGTGTGGGACCATGGTGGGAGGACTGGGAGCCCTCTGGAGGTCTGGGGACATTCAGGGAGGGGGCACAGGGACAGAGGGAAGGGTGGAGGGGCATCAGAGGGGTGCTGGGGACACGGGGGGGTCTCACCTCACTGGGGGCGTCTCTCAGCACCTCGGGGGGCCCCTGGCCGAGGAGGGGGCAGCGCCCCAGGGCCCCGCAGCGCAGCGCCGTCACCCAGTCCTGGCACCGGGCAGAGGGGGGCACCCCACAGCCCCCCCCCGGCGCCCCCAAACCTGCGGCCACGGTCAGGGGGGGCCTGGCAGCCCAGGACCCCCCCAGGACGCCCCCAAAGCCACCCCAGCCCAACACCAGCCCTCTGGGGGGACCCCTCAATGAACCCTCCCCATGCAGTACCCATGGGTGGAAGGGACCCCCCCAGTGACACCCCCATGCCCCATCCACACCTCAAGAGGGGTCCAGACCCGCACCCAAGGGCCCCCCGCCCCCCTTGCCAGGGTCTGTGCCCCCGTCACTTCAGCACAGGGTCCTTGAGGGGGACACGCAGCTCTGGGGGTGCCCCAGGTGTGGGGGGCACGGACCCTACCTGGGCTGGTCCCGAGCAGGGCGAGGAGCAGCGGCAGTGCCAGGGCCATGGCAGGGGACAGGGCAGAGCACGGGGACAGCGCTGCCGGGACCGAGCCCGCGGGCTCTTAAAGCGGGCGGGATGTGGCCGCTGGGACCGTGCCAGCTCACGGGGACAGGTGTGTCACAGCCACGGGGACACCGCGGGGCCGCCACCCCCGCCCTGCCGCTCTGCGCTGGCCCCACGCCCGGGTCCCCACTCAAGGGCCCCGTGACCCCGGCAGGGCCCCCTGCAATGTCCCCGTGTCCCCACTGAGTCCCCGGCGCTGTCCCTGAGTTCCCATTGGGGTCCCCCTCGGCCCCCCCTGTCCCCCCGCCGCATCTCATCCCCCTCCCCTCTGCCGTGTCCCCTTTGTGCCACCACGGTCCCACACCCCAATATTCCCCCCGTGTCCCTCCTGTCACACTCCAACCCCCCTGGCCCCCTCTGCTCCCCTTCGTGTCCCCCCAAAATGTCCCACGGCCCCAAACCCTCATGTCCTCCCTTGTTCCCGTGTCCTTTATTTCCCCCGTGTCCTCCGTGTCCCCCATGTCCCCACACCCCCATGTCCCTCGTGTCCTTGGTGTCCCCCGTGTCCCCCCCTGTCCCCAATCCCCCCCCGTCCTGCCCCTCCCTGTGTCCCTGTCCCCTCCCAGTCCCTTCCCGGCAGGGCCCTCCCCGGTCCCCCCTGACCCCACTCGTCCCTCGAGAGCCCTCAGGGCAGGTGCGGCCCCACGGGCGGGGCACCTGGCCCAGGTGAGGCTCTGCGATGGCTCCCAGGTGCCCCCGTGCCCCCCTGTGTGCCCCCCCAGTGCCACCCTCCCACCCTGTCCCTGTCCCCCCACGGTGCCACCCCCGTCCTTGTGCCACCCTCGGTGTCCCCTCCCCTCCCACAGCAATCCCGGCTCTTTCGTAACCAAATAATTTATTTCCTAACAATCAAACAAGACAGAAATATCCATGGACACAGCAAAGATCTCCTAAAACACGGAATTCCTAAAAAAAAAAAAAAAAAGAAAAAAAAAAAAGAAAAAAAAAGGAAAAAAAAAAAAAGAGAAAAAAAAAAAAGAGAAAAAAAGCACCATTCTATTGGCTTGCCACGGGGGTTCAGCCCTGCAGTGGGATACTCATATTTTCATATTTACAGCAGGAACGGCTGGAAATGGGAGCTGAGCCCCTCCCAGCCGGGCTGGAGCCACTGCTTGGGGAGCAGAAAGAACAGAAAAGAAGAGGGGGGAAAAGCACAAATCAGAGGCGTCCCAAAGAATAACAAAGGAAAGCTTGAGTGGATGGCTCCGCTGGAAAAATCAAGGATGAAAAGAAAAGGAAATTTTGGTGCTTCCTGGGAGCTGGTGGTTTGGGATCTGCATTCCAAAAGGAAAAAGAAAGGAAAACCAGCCCCAAAAATGGGGGGGTGGGTTTGGTTCCCACCCGTCCGTGCCCCGATCCAACTCCCCCCACTCCCCGGATTTTTTATTTTTGTCACAACCTATAAAAAAGTCCTTCCTGCAGCTTATTTGATAGGAATGCTGGTGGATCAGTGAATTCCAGGAGAAGGCTGGCACCACCACTGGGGACCCGGGGAGATTCCGGGTTAGTGCAGAGTTCTGGGGGTCCTGGAGCACAGCCCCACAGTGCAAAGGGCTGGGAAGGGGCAGCCTGGGGCAGGAGGGGAAAAAAGGGGGAAAAAAAGGCATTGGGAACTCAGAAAGGCACGAACCTGCCAAAGCCCCTCATCTGTGCTGAGGCCAAGCCTTCAGAATGTCCAAAACCAACCAAAAATCGGCATTTGGTACCTCTGGAAGGGCCTTCCCAGAGCTGGGATTCCCCAGGTGAAGGCAAAGCCACCCGAGCCAGGGCCCCAGCAGCTGGTATTCCCCTTTTTCTCTGTGTTTTCCACCTTTTGGCCTTTTTTTCCCTCTTTTTGGCGGTGCAGGGGGTTGAGCTCAGGTGCCCAGGGTCTGTGACAATGCCAGAGGGTGGAAAATTCCAGCAGCTTTGAAGGAAAATTCCTTGTGGTTTGGTTTTCTTTTTTTGTTTTCTTTTTTTTTTTTTTTTCTCTTATGAGCCAGCACATGGAAAAAAAGAGCCAGAACCTGGAGAATTTGGGCAACTTGTGGGGCCTGTGGGTTCCCACTACCCCATGTGAGCCAGGAATGGGACTGGGGTATAGAAAGGAAAAAGAAAGGAGAGGAAAAAGGAAAAAGGAAAAAGGAAAAAGGAAAAAGGAAAAAGGAAAGGAAAGGAAAGGAAAGGAAAGGAAAGGAAAGGAAAGGAAAGGAAAGGAAAGGAAAGGAAAATGAGAAAGGGGCAAAGGGGAAGAGAAAAGGAGAAAAGAAGAGAAGGAAAAGAAAGATAAGGAGAAAAGGGAAACAAGAAAAGTAAAAGAGGAAAGGGATAAAGAGGAAAAGGAAAAAAAGGGGAAAGAAAAAAGGAAGGGAAGGGGAAGGACACGGGAAAGGAAGAAGCACTGGAGTCTCCGGCTGCCCGTGCGCCCCCTCGCACTGCAGGGAGCCCTCGCTGCCTCCCAGCACCTGCAGCTCCTGAGCGGCACCGGCAGAGGGTCGGGGCTTCACCCCAGCCCCGTGAGGCTCCCGGACCCCTCAGCCCGGCCTGGGCGGCTCCAGGGGCTGGAAAAGCGCCGGGACCAGCCCGAGGGGAGAGGGAAGGCGCTGGAGGCAGAGCTCTCCGCGTCTCCACGAGCAGGAAGGGCTGGGAACGCTCCCTCCGGTGCGCTGGGGAACGAATCCGCAGCAGGGCTGGGAACCCCGGGCTGCCCCTCCAGGAGCCCGGGCCGATCCCGGCGGAGGCAGAGGGAGAATCCCGCGGGTTATTGCTGAGCAGAGGCATCATCTTTGTGCTGAAGGGGTGGAGAGAGGCCCCGGGCTCCCTCCGAGGTAGAAGAAGCTGTCCCCGAGAGGATGGGAAGGGAATTCCAGGGGTCTGGAAGGCCGTGCCACGCTCCGGGAGTGGCACAGGAGCCCACGGCTCTGAGCCTGCCCCAGCCAGGAACGCTCCGGGGCCGGGCAGGGCTGGCTTGGGGTCCCTGAAGGTTTAGAGTCGGGCGAGGCAGCCCCGACTGAGGCTGATCCCAAACGCTCCCAGCCCGGCCCCGCGGATGGGAGCTCCACAAAGCACCGGCTCTGTCTTCAACCTGCTCCCGAAAACCCTCAGCTTTTCCTGAGGATGGAGGAGATGGGGAGCACCGGGCAGTGACAGCCTGGGGAGCACCCAGGGGAGGCTCCTGAGGTCGCTGCTATTGCCGGGACATTCCCGGGCGCTCCAGGGTGGGCAGAGCGGGGCGGGGCGGCCCGGGCAGAGAGGCCGGCGGAGCCCCGGGAAAAAACGGAGCCCCGGGAGCGGGCGGTGCCCCGGGAGCGGGCGGTGCCAACGGAGCCCCGGGAGCGGGCGGAGCGCCGGGAGCGGGCGGGCCGGCGGGGGTTTCCGTGCAGGGAATGCTGGCGGGGTCGCTGTCGCTGTCGCTGTGCTGGCTAGCGGGATCCCGAGGGAAGAGCTCCCTAAATGCCCACGGGAAGCTTCCTGCCGCCGGCCAGCTTGGCGCGGGCGCCGCCGGAGCTGGAGTAGCCCTCGTCGCTGCCCAGGCTCTGCAGGCTGCCGCGCTCGTCCGAGTCGCTGGGGCTGCTGCTGCTCCAGTCCAGGTCGGCCGGGAGGTCGTCCGTGCTCTCCACATCCACGTCCATCTCTTCTGCCGGGGACACGGGGAGGGTTGGGGCTCCGGCAGGGCCAGGGCTCCCCGCGGCCGCGCCCCGGCGCGGGCTCTCACCTTGGTCCGAGTCGGAGCGATCGGAGGAGAGGCTGGAGCCGATGCTGTCGATCCTGACCCGCTCCATGCCCAGCTTCTCCAGCTGCCGCTGCAGGTGCCGCTGCTCCCGCTGCAGCTGCTCGATCTGGTGCAGGGCACGGCGCTCCTGGTCCTCCAGCTTCTGCGGGGAACACGGCACCCTGAGCCCGGGATTCCCTGGAACCACCCGGGATTCCCTGGAACCACCCGGGATTCCCTGGAACCACCCAGGATTCCCTGGAACCACCCGGGATTCCCTGGAACCACTGGGGATGGGGCACCCTGAGCCCGGGATTCCCTGGAACCACCCGGGATTCCCTGGAACCACCCGGGATTCCCTCGGAACCATCCAGCATTCCTGGCCCAATCCACCTCGGTTCCCAAGGGGCTCCCACCTTCAGCACATTTGGGATGTGGATGGAGCCATGTGGATTCCAACCCTCCCAAGTCATCCCAGCCCAATTCAGAACTCCCCCGTTATCCCAGCCCCATCCCAGTGCTCTCCCCGTTATCCCAGCCCCATCCCAGTGCTCTCCCCGTTATCCCAGCCCCATCCCAGTGCTCTCCCCATTACCCCAGCCCCATCCCAGTGCTCTCCCCATTACCCCAGCCCCATCCCAGTGCTCTCCCCATTACCCCAGCCCCATCCCAGCCCTCTCCCCATTACCCCAGCCCCATCCCAGCCCTCTCCCCGTTACCCCAGCTCCATCCCAGTGCTCTCCCAGTTAACCCCAGCTCCATCCCGGTGCTCTCCCCGTTACCCCAGCCCCATCCCAGCCCATGCCCCATCCTGCAATGCTGCTCCCAGCTCCCAGCCCGGTCCCAGATGCCATTTAGGCTCACCTGGATGTGGAGCCTGGCCCTGGTGAGCAGGCTGAGCGTGGTGTGCCGCCCGGCCGCCGCCCCCAGGGGCACCAGCCCCTTCAGCCTCTCCAGGCACAGCCGGAGCTGGGCGCGCCTGCAACGGGAGCACACGGCAGCCTCAGCTTCCCAAAGGCCATTCCCACCCCACTGCTGGGGGAAATGGGGCTGCTGGGGGGCTACACCCCACCGGGAGCATTCCCAGCACCCATGGATCCCAGAAACTGGGAGAGAATGCAGCCAGGCAAAGGGAAAAGCTCCTGGATAAACCCTGCCGGCTGCTGGGGGGATCCCAGGCAACAAAATGCCAATGACCTCGTGATTCTGGGTGAGAATATCCACTTTTGGTCATTCTCCCCCATCTCAGGAGGGCTGTGTGGCTCCTGCCCAGGCTAACACCCAGCTGCACATCCCTTGGGAGTGCTTCCTTTCCCTATTTTTAGTAGGAGCAGGGTGGTTTTGGATACAAAAGCCCCAGATCCCTGCAGGAGCACTGGCTGTTCTCCAGGAATCCTCCCTCTTCCTGTAACATCTGGGTTTTCTCTGCTTTAACAGGTTAGTGCGAGAGGGAAGCTCCAGCTCCTGGAGGAAATCCCTTTTTCTGCTGAAAAAAGCAGCAGATCCCAGTTTCCCTGTGCCCATTCCCAACCCCAGGATGTAGGTCAGGTCCTTGGGAAGGGGTTGTAACACCCATCCCTGAGCCACCTGATCCCGGGCAGCTCCAAAGGGATTTTGCAAGGACCTGCTGGTCTTGTTTGGGATATGCTGGGAGGGAACAGGGATTTCCTCACCCAAAGGGCCTCGGGATGGCAACACAGCCAAAAAAAAGTGGGATTTACTCGGGGTAAATCCCAAACTCCAGCTGGCTCAAAGATGAGCCTGTGAAAAGATAATTTTCCTGAATAAGCAGGGCTGTGGAGATGGAGCTGGTTCCCAACAACCAAGGACAGGGAATGCTTTAATCCTCGGTGTCCTTTATCCCCTTCCTTCCCTCCCAAGCCATCTCAGGATGGTGGAACACCCCTGGAAAAGCAGCAATTGCCCCCAGCCCAGCCCCTGGCACTCACCTGTTCTTCTCCATCTCATTGTGCGTCGACCTGGAAGAGAAGGAAGAAGTTATTAACTCCTCTGGCTGATTAGGGATTAGCACTTGGGATTAACGTGTGGGAATTAGCAAAGGCTCCCTGCAAAAGCTGCACACCCGGGGGGCTCCCAGAGCTCCACACCCAGGCACGGGGAGTGCCAGGGTCAGGAACACCAGGAAATGGGATTTCAAACCAGAGACTCCTGAGCTTTAGAGCTGGGCTGGCATCAACAGCTCATCCCTGCCCCTCAGCCCAGGAACATAAAGTGGAAAAGCCTTCCCCGTGTCCAAGAGCACTGAGCAGCTCTGGAGGAGACCCCAAACAAATTAAAACCATAACAAATCCCCCTGAAGCTCCCCAATTCCACAGAGCTGGGAAGAGGAGGAAAACAAGCCAGGGTTGGCTTTCCCTCCTCTGAAATCCAGGAGGAGGCCACAGGAGCTGCTTCCCTGCCCTGACTTCCTGACACCTCCAGAGGCTCCACTCCAGTTTGGGGGAAAATGTTGTTATGTGCCTGAAAATATAAACTGGGAATAACCCAGAGGCTGCTTGGATGGGGATGTCCACTGGGATGGCCCTGGGGGCTCTGGGAGTGCTGGAAAAACCAGGGATGCCACCGAAGGGAAAGGCAGGGATGTCACTGAAGGGAAAATGAGGGAATGTCACCAAAGGGAAACCAGGGATGTCACCAAAGAGAAAGGCAGGGATGTCACTGAAGGGAAAGCCAGGGATGTCACCAAAGGGAAAATCAATGATGTCATCAAAGGAAAATGAGGGATGTCACTAAAAGGAAAACCAGGGATGTCACCAAAGGGAAACCAGGGATGTCACCAAAGGGAAAGCAGGGATGTCACCAAAGGGAAAGCAGGGATGTCACCAAAGGAAATGCAGGAATGTCACCAAAGGGAAAGCAGGGATGTCACCAAAAGGAAACCAGGGATGTCACCAAAGGGAAAGCAGGGATGTCACCAAAGGGAAAGCAGGGATGTCAGCCCCACAGCAGTGGGAGATGCTCTCCGAGGTCTCCTTCCCTTTTCCAGCCTTTCCTGATGGATCACCCTGCTCCAGTGGCTTTTGGAGCCCATCTCCCACGTGCCCAGAATTGTTCCATCCCAGCAGGGACATTTCCCACTCCAGGGGACTCTCCTGGCACACTGGAAGGGCTCAGCCCCTGGGCAGGGTCTCCTTTCCATTTCTCCCTGGATAAATGTTTCACACCCAGCCCTTTACCAAGGGGCTGCCATGGGCTGCAGCTTTGTGAGTTTTTTCCTTAATTCTAAATTATCCAAACACTTCCTGAGCACAGGTACAGACAGGGGTGAAGCTCCCATCACCTCCACACCCCTTAATTACAAATCCCTCCTCTTTTCTGCCTGGATCCTTCCTGGAATGGCTCTTTTCTCTTCAGGACTTGCATTCACCATCACCAATATTTAGAGGGGGGAAAAAAATGAATGGATTCATGGATTTAAATTCTGGATGAAACAAACAGGGACAGAGGGGATGGCAGCCTCACCCCGGGGCAGGTGGAGCTCCCACATCATCTCCAGAGCCACCTCATGCCCACAGAGCCACTGCTTTGGATCCCCAGCACTCTGAACCTCAGCTGATCACCAGCTTTCCCTTCGGAATGTGTCGTTTTATTCCTGAAAACCCCAGCAGACCGACCCAAAGCGAACCAAATATCCCCAGAAGGAGCCCGCAGTGAATCCGGGCAGGACAAACCCCCGGGTTCCCCGGTGCGATTCCGCCCCCCGAGGGGCTCCCGAGCCCCGCCCCGGCCCCGGGGCACCGGGGAATCGCCACCTGCCAAAGGTCGGGGCGGCGGCGCCGCGCAGACGGGAGCGCTCCCGAGCAGGAAAAGGGTGACAGATGTGCTGCCACCAGCAGCCGGCTCCTCCCTGGCACCGCGGGGACGCGTCGCGATGGGGCTGCTGCCCCCACAGCGCCCGGAGCCAGCGGCAGCGGAGGGTCCCGGCGGTGGGCAGGGGATTGGAGGGGAGGGATGAAGGCTCCGGGCTGTGGGGTTTGCCCCTGGAATTCAGTGTGGGTTCTGCAGCTCGGAGAAAAGAATTTAAAGCCAGCGAGGAGCGAGGACAGAGGGACAAGGGGAGGCTCTGGGTGGGTTTGGGGTAATTCAGGAGGTGACAGGGGCCCCCTCCAGCCCGGGCCGGCTCTGTGACAGCAGGAGCTCTCCGGGCCGGTCACCCAGGGACAGGAAGGTGCCACCCACGGTGTCACACCCGCTGACAGGTGGACTTTGGTGACAGCAGAGCCCCACCCAGGGCTGTCACACACCCAGCGACAACAGGACCGGCCCGAGCCGGGTCACCCCATGGAGCAGGGGCTGTCACACACACCCGGGGACAGGAGGTGCCCCCGGCACTGTGACACCCCCAGGGACGGCGGGGGGCCCCGCCAGAGCCCGGGTTACCGGGGAACCGGCCCGGCCCCGGTGCCAGCGGGGCCTCCCCGAGCCGGGACGGGACTCCCCGGGCCCGGGGCACACTTGGGCACAGGGGACCCGTCAGGGACCGAACAGCGCCATGACAGGAGGGTCCCCCGGGCCTGTCGCACCCCCGGTGACAGCGGGAGCGGGGCGGTGACCCCGGCCCGGCCCGGGAGCCGCGGCCTGACCGGACACGGAGCCCCGCGGGCCTGTCCCCCCGCCCGGTGCCAGCGGGGGCTCCCCGGGCCGGGCCGCGCGGGGCCGGAGCTGCCCCGGCCGGGCCCCACAACAGCCGGGCCCCTCCGGGCCGGTCCCCCCGCCCCGCCCGGTGCCGCCGTCACCTGCCGCCGCCGCCGCTCCTCCGGGCCTTGGCGCGGCGCCGCGGGGCCTCGCCGTCCTTCCCGCCGGGCCACAGCGAGGCGTAACCGTGCTCGGCTTCTGCGGAGACACAACGGCGGTCGCGGGTCACGGCGGGGCCCGGCCGGGGGCGCCGCCGGGGGCACCGCGGGGGCGGCGCGGGGGGTACCTCGCTCCCGCCGCTCCAGGAACTCGGCGGCCTCCAGCAGCATCTGGATGCCGAGGCGGGGGGGGGCGGCCATGGCGGGGCCGGGACGGGCCGCGACCGGCGGCGGGGGGGGAGCGGCGGCCTCTGCCCGCCCCGAGCGCCGCTCCGCCAGACCCCGCGCGCGCCACGCCCCCGCCGCCGCTCATTGGCGGAAGTTGAGACAGGCCCCGCCCGACCCCGCCGCTGATTGGAGAATGAGGAGAAGGCCCCGCCCAGCGCCTCCACGAGCGGCGGAGAGGGAGCGTGGCTGCGCTTGAGGACACGCCCTCCGCTCGCTGCTATTGGACGAGAGCGCCACGCCCTCCTGCTATTGGCCCGACCCTTCCCTGGCGGGGCCCCGCCCACACAACGGGCCCCGCCCCGTTGGCCGCACGCTCTGCCCTGACTCACTTCCTGCCGCTCAGCCAATGGCGAGGCCGGACGGGGGAGGGGGCGGCGCCTCGGCTACGTCGGGCAACGTAAGCACGGACAGCGACAGGGACCCCCGGACAGGGACCCCCGGGACCCCAGGATGGGGACAGGGACCCCCGGACAGGGACCCCCGGGATGGGAACAGGGACAGAGACCCCCGGACAGAGACAGGGACCCCAGGATGGGGACAGGGACCAGCGGACAGGGACCCCCGGGATGGGGACAGAGCCTCTGAGAGAGGGACAGACCCCCCTGGGACAGGGACAGACACCCCCACAGAGCCAGGACCCCCAATCCCCCTCCAAGCAGCCACCCCCACGCCAGGGCAGTGACACCCCCAGGCAGGGCCCCCCTGTGCAGGGAGCACCTTGGGACCCCCAAATCAAGAACCACCCCCAACCCCGGGCAGGGCTCAGAGCACCCAAATCCCCTCCCAAAACTGGGAGCACCCCAATCCCACTGCCCCCCTGGGGGCTCCCAGCCCCAAAATCTGTGTCAACCCCACGGATTTGTGGGAGGGAGGGGGAATGGAGGCCTCACTTCATCTCTGAATGATAAAAATTAAAGGAAAAAATACATCTGGGGTTTTATTAACAGGGAAGCAAACCAAAACCAGGGAGAACACAGCAAAATCCCAGCCAGAAACTGACCTTTGTTGTAAAAAAAAAACAACAAACAAATATCTGGGAACTTGTGGCGGGTCTGGATGTGGGATTTGTTGGGAATAACCCAAATTCCACTGGAATCCAGCACGGGAGCCACCCAGGAGAGTGCAGGGAAAAGAAATCCTTCGGTGGTGGGAGCCTGTGCCAGCGTCAGGCGATGAAATCCAGGGGCCTGTTGAATCCTCCTTTCCTGTTCATGTATTGCCTAGGCGAGGACGGAGCCAGAGTCAGCCCCAAATCCGGGGAAATCGGGACAAAAACACCCGGAGGAGGCTGGGAATGGGACTCAGCAGCCACAGGGAAGCCAATTCCCCAGGGATTTGAGCAAAAGGAGAGCAGGAAGGCTCCCAGTGAGGAGCTGCTGCAGAGGAGCCCGGGTGCCAGCAGAAAGGGAGCAGAATTGACAATCTGGGTGTTTTTTGGGGTGAGCAGTGCTGCTTCCCTCTGCTCTGATCCTGCCCAGGCCTCACTGGGCACATCCCAGCTGTTCCTAAGGTGCTCCTCACTCCTCATCCTCCTCATTTCCCCATTCCCAGGGGGATCTGGAGAGCTCTCACCTCTGCTTTTGAGTCTAAACCTCACCAAATTTCCGTTTTCCCTGGAAGCTGGATCAGGGTGAGACCGTGGCCACAGCTACCTCACCAAACAAACTCCTCTCTCCATCCCAAAGCAGGGGGACACACACCTGTACTTCCTCTTCTGGGACACGTTGATGGCGTAGGCATTGGCAGCACCGTCCACCTTCTTCCCCTGAGGAGAAACACCTCAAAATCCCATGGATTACCCCCAAACAGGGCAGCTGACACCGCAGAGCCCCTGGAGTGGTGCTCACCTTGGTGGTATCAAAGGAGGCAAAACCCATCATCTTCATCATCTCGATCTCCTCCTCTGTCTTGCCCTGCAAATCTTCCTCTGAGGGGAGAAAATCAAGGATTGAGCAAACACAGATGTTGGGATTCCCAAAAATCCAGGTGTCCCTGGGCTGGTCCTGGCCCCGAGGGACACCTGGGGGTGCCCCAGGAGGGAGATCCCCCCTCACCTGTGATCTGCCGCTCCTTCTTGGAGTCCTTGAGCTCCTTCTTCTCCTCATCCCGGCGCTCCTTGGGCCGTGCTGGTGACGAGGAGCTGGAGCGGTGCCGGCGTGGGGACCTGCTGGGGCACAGAGCTGGGGCTGCAATTCACACCTGGAATCCCCACCTGGAGCTCCTGCTGTCCCCAGGTCACCCAGAGTGCCCTCACCTAGCTGTGCCCACCCCATGCTGGTGTCCCTGCCCTCACCTGGATCATCCCTAACATCACCTGGATCATCCCTAACATCACCTGGATGTCCCTGCCCTCTCCTGGACAATCCCTGCCCTCACTTGGATGTCTCTGCCATAACCTGGATCATCCCTGCCATCACCTGGATGCCCCTGCCCCTCACCTGGATCATCCCTGATATCACCTGGATGCCCCTGCCCCTCACCTGGATCATCCCTGCCCTCACCTGGATGTCCCTGCCCTCACTTGGATGGTCCCTGCCCTCACTTGGATGTCTCTTCCCTCACCTGGACGGTCCCCACCCTCACCTGGACGGCCCCCGCCCTCACGTGGACAGCCCCGCCCTCACCTGGACCGTCTCCGGTGCGGGGAGCGGGAGCGGCTCCTCCTCCTGTCCCTGTCCCGGGACCGCGATCGCTCCCGCCGCCGCCTGTCCCTGTCCCGGGACGTGGAGCGCGAGCGCCGCCGCTCTGCCCGGGGAAGGCTCAGCTGCTGCTCCCTGCCCGCTTCCCGAGGGAAATCCCACAGAAACCCCAGCACCGACCCGGGACTGCCCTACCCACCCCGCTCAGGGACCCCTCTGGGCACCCCGGGAGGGAAGGAGCAGCAGGAAAAATCTCCAGCGGGAGCGGGGGAATGATCCAGGGGGAATCACCCGGGGGGAGCAGCCAGGAGGGGAGGACGGTCCCAAAAACCTGAGCCAGGGGGAGAGGGGTGGGAGGGGGTGATGGTCCCCAAAAACCTGAGCCAGCGGGAGAGGGGTGGGAGGAAAGGAAGAGAAGGAGAGGAGGAGATGATAAGGATGGGGAGGGGGAGAAGGAGGAAAAGGAGAGGAGGAAGAGGAGAAGAGGAGGAGAAGGAAGCAGAGAAGAAGAGAAGGAATGGAGAAGGATGGGAAAGGGATGAATGAAGAAAAGGAGACGAGGAAGAGGAGAAGAAAGCAGAGAAGAAGAAGAGAAGGAAAAGAGAAGGCTGAGGATGAAGAAGAGGAGGATGAGGGAGGCAGTCTCTGCCCTCCGGCACAGCGAGGAACCGGGGCCTCCCCGCCCCGAGGGTCTCAGTCCCCCCTACCCCCGTCCCTTGCACCCCGATCTCCCCGAGCCCGGTCCCCCGGGCCCCCCCTGACCTCCCCGGCGTTCCCGTCCCTCCTCACCCCGCCGCGGCGGTGACCGGGAGCGGCTGCGGCCCATGGCCGCCCCTCAGCCCCGCGCTGCTGCTCCCACGGCGCCGCCGGCCCGAGGGGACCGAGCCCGAGGGAACCCGGCCCGAGGGGACCCTGCTGAGGGGAGCCGGCTAAGGAGACCTGGCTAAGGAGACCGGGCCTGAGGGGAGCCGGCCGGCGGCGCCGGTCAGCACCGCATCGGGCCGCACCGGGCCGGGCCCGCCGCTCGCCCCGAGAGCCCGCCCAGGCCGGAATGCGAGGGGAGAGCCGGGAGGAAGAGGAGGGCCGAAAGCGGAGAGGGCAGGAAGGGGAGGGCAGGAAGGGAAGGAGAGGAAGGAGGGGAGGAAGGCGGGGCCGTCACCGTCACCTTCCTCAGGCCGCTGCTCGCTCTGCCCGCCCGGGCCCTGTCCCGAACGTGCTGCGGCTGTGCCGGCTTCGGTGCTGGGGGGGGCACGAGGGGCTGCTGGGAGAAGCTGCTGGAACCGTCCCGGTGTCCGGGATACCCATTCCCACCTCCATCCTGTCCCATCCCCACCTCCATCCTGTCCCGTCCCCATCATCTTTGTCCCATCCCTATCCTATCCCAGTCCCAATCCCCAACCCCATCCCCTTCTCATCCCATCCCCATCCCTCAGACTCCGAGCGCTGCCGGGTGCCAAACACGGGGTTTATTTATTTACACCGGCGTTCCACGCGCTCCCGGCCGCGATTGTCACACGCGGGGGGGGACGTGCCACTCCCCGGCCGCCTCCCGGTGCCGTTCCGGGGCTCCAACACCCGCCCTGCCTCCCGGCCCGTCCCCGGTGGGCTGAGCCCGGCTGGACTCGCCCTTCCCCGCTGCCAGGCTGGGATCGGCCTCTGCTTTCCAGCGGAGGTGCGGGTGTGGAGACCCTGGATCAGGGATTTGCTTTACCCTGAGCCTTGCTGGAGTGAGGGGAGGGGGAGGCAGGGAGGTGGGCTGGGGGAAGGACCCGAGGGGTGGTGCTGGGGTGCGATCTTGGCTCTGTTGCCCTCAGTCATGGTGATGATGCTGGCACTGGAGCCTTCGTCCCTTTCTGCTTGGAATATCATGGATGGGGAGGTCAACGCCAGGGTCCCCTGCAAAGCCACTGGCCCTTGGGAAAAGGGGTCACAAAGGCCCCAGGGACAGACCCTTGGGGAGAAAAGGGGTGACAAAGGTCCCAGGGACAGACCCTTGGGGAGAAAAGGGGTGACAAAGGTCCCAGGGACAGACCCTTGGGGAGAAAATGGGTTACAAAGGTCCCAGGGACACACCTTCAGCGACAAAGAGGGGACAAAAGCCCTGGGGGAGCCCCCGGGGTGGGCTGGGGGTGTGGCAGTGCTGTCATTCAGGAATTGCCCCCAGGTGCGACAGTGCCACCCCAGGGAGGTGACAGGGCTGTCTCTGCTGCCCTGGGTCACCCAGGTGACACAAACGGCCTCAAAGAGCCTCAGAATCAGTGGCAGTGAGGAACAACCCCCCCAGTGACAGGGTTTGGGGGCTCAGAGTGTGCCCTCGGTGCCCCCCATCCTGCAGGGGTGGGATGGGGACCTCTGGGGGGACACTGGGCAGGGCAAAGGCTCTTCCCAAAATCCAGGCTGGGGCTGGGGCTCTGGCCAGGTCCCTGCCTGGGCTCTCCCGGCTGTTTCCCCCCTATTCCATGGGCTCCCTGCCCTTCCAGGGGGGATCCAAGCCCCAGGAGCTGTCTCAAGGCAGGGAAAGGGTTTGAAACCACAGCGATGGCACAGGGGGCAAACCCTGCTGGGCTGGGGGAGCCCCAGACAGGGGTTCAGGGCCATTCCAGAGCTCCTGGGCAGGGCTCCATGGACACAGCAAGGCTCAGGGTGAGCACCCCGGAAAGGGGGAGGATTTGGGGCTGATCCCGGTGATTTATCCCCAGATCCCAGCGCTGGAAGGGCTGTGGGGAATAGGGGCAGGGCTGGGGCTCTTCCCGAGCAGGGGGTGGCCAGGAGGTGGCAATGCTGGGAGGGAAGGGAACGCCAGGAAGGACGGAACTTGTGCTGGGAATTCCAGAGCTGGGAAAAGCGGGGGGCCGGCGTGGCCGGGGTCGCTGTGAGCTGGCAGCGTGTGTTCATCCCGAAGTAGCACTTAGTGAGTGAGTTTTGCTCAGTTTTGAATAACACAGTTCCCAGAGGGGTGTGGGTGTTTTTTCCCTATTTTCCCAGGTGCGGGTCGTGCAGTGAGGTGGGGGCTTTTCCAGCGGTGGGAAATCCTGCTGCTCTTCCTTGGGTGGGCAAAACACGGGCTGGGAGTACCAGGAGAAGGGGATGAAGTGGTTCTTGAGCCCACGGAGAGGGAGGTTTACAATCCAGGGAGGGAAAAACCTCAGCTCCTCCTTCAGGAAAAGCCTTCAGCTCGATCCCGTTCTCCTGGCAAAGCGATGGACAGTTGTCCCTGGGGATGAAGCCAGCGCCATTCCAGCAGAGCTTGAAACAGAAGGTGAAGAAAATAACCACGAAACACCCTTTTCTTCCTCAAACCAAGCAGATCTGGGCTCTGGTGGAGACAATCCATCCCTCGGCCCACGGCGGTGGGAAGGAGCCCAGGAGGGAGAGGGGCAGGGAGGTGCAGCGGGAGTTTCCCCAGGCGGGGACCACGGTCTCTCTAAGCTCGGTGCCAGCCCCCAGAGGCGGGTGACAGGGGGGACGAGGTGCCTCGTGCCCGGGAAGCAGCCGGGTTCCGGGGCTTTAGGGCCGCGCCTCGGGGCCTCGGCGATCCCAGGAGCCCCGGGGAGGCCACGCGCGAGGCCTCGGGACGCTCAGGACTCGATCTTCTCCTTCTTTTTGCCTTTTTTCAGGAAAGACGGGGTCCGGAATTTCTTCTTCTTTTTGGAGGGTGATTTGGAGGGTGAACCGTCGGGGGACACGGGGTTGCTGGTCACTGTCTCCTTCTCCTTGGGGGCGTCCTGGTCGGCGTTGGTGGTCGTCCGGTCTGTCCCCCCTTTTCCAAGGTTTTCCTCGGTGCTTTGCTCCTCGTCCTTCCCGTTCACCACCGCCGGTGGCTCCTTCTTGGCAGTGGAATCAGGGGGGGCTTGGCCACCATCGGCCTTCTTGTCACCTTGGGAAGGGGAGAGGGAGCAGGGAATTGGGGCAGCAGCACCGCTGTTCTGGGGGGGTCCATCCCCCCAAACGTGCAGTGGGGCCTGGGCAGGAGCAGGATTTGGCCTCCCCGAGAGGAGAACGTTGGGGTTTGATCCTGTCCTGCCGCAGGCACCGCGCCCCCGAGCCCCCCGAGCCGCCCCCTCCCTGCGGGACAAGCGATGTGGGATGGAGAGCCGGGAAGAGGCAGCAGGAGAAGCAGGAAGCGACACCAGGGAGGGAGGGGTTCCCCGGGGGGTTTCCTAAGGGATTTCCACGGAGACCGAAGAGCGCCCCGAGCCCCTGTCCCTCGTCCGTCCGGGGTGGCCTCTCCGTACTTACTACGGCGCCAGGGATTCAGGGATAACTCCTTGGGTGACAGGCACACGGGGAGGAAAGAGAAAGGAGACGTTGTGGAGACAGACAGACAGACGGACACCACGAGACACCATGGCAGCGCCAGCAGCCCCGAGCCGCGCCCCGGCACCCGCTGCGGGTGGGAACAGTGGGGACTGGGCTGGGGGACAGGGCTGTCCCCTGCACCCCACAACGCCACCGCTCACGTCCTCCTGCCACGCTCCCCCCGGCCCCTCTGGAGCGGGGTGACAGCACGAGGTGACACACGGTGACAGCCAGCTGCGTCCCAGCGCCGTTTGGCCGCAGCCGCCCTTGTGCCCCTGCTCCTGCTGCTCACCGGGACCCCAGCCCTCGTTTTCCTCATTTTGGGGTGCTCATCACCCCACTCACCCTCCGTGGGCTCTGCAGGCGCCGGGGGCTCCGGCGGGGGCGGCTCTGGGGGGGGAGCCCCTCTGTCCTCTGCTGCCGCCTCCTTCTCGCCTGCCACAGAGACACACGCTGGCCCCGGTCCCCGCGGTGCCACCCGGGGCTCGGGGGGCTTTGGGGGGCTCTCCTACCCTGCAGGCGCTTCTTCCTCTCCACCTCCTGCTTGTACTCCTCCAGCTCCTGGTCCGTCAGCTGGCTGAAGGGGTTGGGGGGCTCTGGCTCGGGGGGAGCCTCCTCCCCGCCCTCCTTGGCCTCCGCGTCCCCCAGATGGCTCTCGGTGGACTGAAACAGAGCCCCGGAGTGGTGTCACACCCCTGGGGCAGTGTCACCACCCCCAGGACAGTGTCACACCCCTGGGGCAGTGTCACCACCCCCAGAACAGTGCCACACCCCTGGGGCAGTGTCAACACCACCAGAACAGTGCCACACCCCTGGGGCAGTGTCACCCCCCTGGGGCAGTGTCAATACCCCCAGAACAGTGTCACACCCCCCCGCCCCAGAGAGATGGGGACACGGGGTGCCACAGGATGACGTGGGTTGGGGACATGGGGTGTCATGGGGCTGGGGACACCAGGTGACACAGGTGCCATACGGGGCTGCGGCTGGTCTTGGCGATGACACCGGCCAGCAGCTGTGACTGGGGACATGAGGTGACACAGGGTGACATGGGCTGCGGACAAGGGATGACACAGGTGCCATACGGGCTGTGGCTGGTCTCAGCAATGACACCGGCCAGCAGCTGTGACTGGGGACATGGGGTGACACTGGGTGACATGGGCTGTGGACAAGGGGTGACACAGGGTGACACGGGTGCCATACAGGGCTGTGGCTGGTCTTGGCGATGACACTGGCCAGCAGCTGTGACTGGGGACATGGGGTGACACAGGGTGACATGAGGTGACACAGGGTGACATGAGGTGACACAGGGTGACACGGGTGCCATACGGGGCTGCGGCTGGTCTCGGCGATGACGCTGGCCAGCAGCTGCGACTGGGGCCCGGCTGATTTCACGTCCTGGCGGTTTTGCTCGCGGATCTGTGGGGGAGGACAGAGCTGAATCCCCCTCCAAGGACGGTGCTGAGCCCCCCCAGGCCCCGCTGTCCCCCAGCCCTGCCCACCTTGTTGCGCATCTCCAGCACCTCCTGCGGGTCCGTGTAGAGCGGCACAAACTGGTTGGGGTTCTCGATGCGGATCGGGGTCCCACTGCTGCCCTTCTCCACCTCGTCTGCCCGCAGCCACTGCAAACCCAGGAACAGGTTTGGGGAAGAGGAGACCCCAATGTAGAGGGAAAGCACCATAAATGCAGGGAGACCCCAATAAACAGCATAGAAGAAAGACCTGACTAAATACATCATATATAGAAGGAGGAAGACTCCAAAACAAGTTCCCCAATAATAGAGGAAGACCCCAAAAAAGCATCTTGTGTAGAGGGGAGACCTTGATAAACAGGTGTTACACGGAGGAAAGACCCCAATAAATGC